ATTACGCAGAAAGAAATGACCTCACAGTTAATTTACAAAAAACGAAGGGAATGGTTTTTCGCAATGGAGGTAGATTATCAAAATCTGACAAGATATTTGTGAATAACACTGAAATTCGATTTGTCACATATATTAAATATTTGGGAATACATTTTTCTTCATCAGGTACATTTAATCATCATTTTAGTTTGATAGACGAAGATATTCAGAAAAAGACAGGGTACATTCTCACTGTACAGAAACGTATGAAGCTAAACTCTATGAGAGGCATGTTTAGGCTTTTTGACGCTTTTATTGGTTCCAGGCTGTCTTATCTATTTCCGGTTTGGGGTTTGGAATATTTGTCTAAAATGGAAAAAGTTCAGATGAAATATTTTAAGAGACTTTTTAAAATAGAACGTTCAATTTCAAGTTCTGCAGTTCGTCTTGAGTTGGGAAGACCACCATTGGAACTGAAATTTGTTAAAGTTATTGTTTTGTTCTGGTCCAAAATCATGGAGTTACCCTCATGTGATTTGCGTCGAATAACATATAATGTTTTGTTAACAGCAGTTAAACATGGTAAGAAAAGTTGGCCAGCTTCAGTTAAAAATATTTTTGATGGCTTGGGTTATTCCTTTTTATTTTTATCTCATTCAGCTTCTTTGTTGAGAACCCATTTAAATGCACTAATTCAAACTAAGTCAGATCAGTTGTGGAACTGGGATATGTCTTCAATATCAGCTAAACGAGTTAATCTGTGTGAATCACGCTTGGTCTGGTGTACAGCAAGTTACTTGAATTGTGAGACTAATTTTTCTACAAAAAGCCTTATTATGCAACTCAGACTAAACAGATTTCGAATTTTGTTCAAGGGTTACCGGATAAATATATCCAGTGAAGGGTGTTGTGAATTCTGTGGTGTAAAAGAAAAAGAAGATCTTCTGACTCATTTGTTTGAATCCTGTCAAGTGACATACCAACTAAAATGTTCTGTATTAGGGGAGGAGTTTAGATGTGATTATTTGAAGAATGAGGTTATGTCAAAAATTACCTTATTTAAGCTCTTCTCCTTTTTCTCTAAATCTTTGGAATTTCTTCGTTAATTTTACTATGATTTGTGTGTTTTTATATTGTTATTAATTTGTCCCCATTGTAAGAAATTTAAATTTAAATCAATAAACAATAATAATAATAATAATAATAATAATTTATATAATGGCAAAACTAAGTTATGATTTAGTTTTTCCATAAAGTAACCGTTTTCAAAAAATTTATTTATCAGATGCGATAATGGTTGAGCTAAGATATCACATATGTGTTTTAAGATTTCAATATTTAAGAAATTCCGTGTTATATGAATTCCATGTTGTACGAGTCACTTAGATTTTACAAATACGTGTGCCGGGCTGTGACCGGCTCACGTATTTGTAAAATCTAAGTGACTCGTACAACATGGAATTCATAGGCCTATAACACGGAATTATGTACTGTACAGTGTTATAGGGGTCTACTGTATTGATAAATCATTTCGTGTTTGATTTTTAGATTCGAATAAAAATCCTCCAATGAGTGAGAAAAAGTAGCTAAGGATTTTCATTTCTTTCGTAACACTTCGCGTAATCTTGAGTTGATCGATGTCCAAATTTCTCCACGGTCCACTTGTTGGCAACCGCTGCCCTAGAGTAAGAAAGTTTTATTCTCCTAAACTCGAAAGAAACCCAACACTCTCCAATTACAAACAAATCCGATGTCAATCCGTGACACGAAATGTTTTATAGCGAAGTGAAATTTGATTTGTTTTATTGCTTTGGATCAAATTACAATAAAAAAAACCCTCCTCATTTTCGTCAATCTGCAAGTATTTTATAGTTAGAAAGAAGAAATGCGAAAATACAAGATATCATCGTAGTATATGATGCGATGAGAATAATTTCACATTTTTGGAATAATAGGATCTCTTGAGTCTCGGACCTTGCTATTATTCCGAAAATTTTATGTAGCGACACAATTATTAAGGTAATCGACCTGACATGAGCTAGAAAGGGCAGAGCTAGGAATGGTCCCTAGCTTCATTTCAATAAAATTTCTTCATTTGCACCAATGGTTTTCTTCTCTACCGTAAGGTCTAAGGTAAATGTTTCAAAAATTTTCCGATTTTTGGACCCCCAAAAAAGCTTCTGTCTTTGTATCTACTAAATCGACGAGCTTTAGTAAATACTTATTTTAAAAAGCTTTTTAAAGCGATTGGAATGACATATCCTGTTATCGGCCACTCATTGGTTACCAAGCTACAATCTCCAAAATATATTTTAATTAATAAAGAAGGAGGTATTCCGTAACATTTTGGGATCTAACTTGACAACCTTAAAGATACAACGTTAAAACTGCCAGAATCGGTTAAAGCATCGTAAAATTGTGTTTGACCAAGTTTTAAATTAAATTTATGTACTTAAAAGCACAAGTCTTAAAAGTTATATTGGTCCGATAAACGCACAAATAATCGAAACTGTTTCATTCCATTTAACTTCTTGTGTGTCTTTTGAGACCAATCTTAACATCCAAATTGTTCCTTTCAATTTTTTATCCGCATTCAGTTCTATTATAATGCTGCTGCTGCTGCTGATAATGATATAAAACTCCAAAAATCATTTAATGTAGATTACATTGAATACAAAATATGATCAGTGTTTAAATTCTCAAATGGTTACTCAGTAAGATGTTAGTCTAACAATATGAAGAACCAAGTTTAAACTGATCCTCATGCAACTAGATACAGACATACATCATCATGGGTACTACGTTTTGTCATTATTCTATATTATTCACTCATGAAGGTTCTTTTGAGACAAGCCTACCCATGATGGGCCTCGTTAACGAAACAATGTTTATTTGTAAAAGACAAGAAATGCATGTTCGTACAGGGCATCAATAGAGATATCTAGACTTATGTCAGGTTCGAGAGAGAGAGAGAGTTTACAATAAGAGCGCGTGGCGATAAATACTGTACCTTATTGAAGATCTGGTCTTGATCTGGAACGTTCTGGTTGAAAGAGAGGAAGTTCGGGATGTCGGTTCGGGTATCCTGTAGATGAAATATCCGTAAACCTGATGGAACGTATCAGGTTTACGGATATTACGGCTAACGCAAAGGTGCTAGACGATGGTTTCCGATGATATATTACAAGGATATAGGAACGTAAAATAAAATGATACGAATGCACAAATGATCGTATATTCACAGATATCGGAATATTGAGGCACTTAGGATAAGGTACGGGTGACAACTGACTCTTTAGAAGGACTGGCGACGACTGCCTTAGTTTCTTGATTTTTTCATTGTTGAACCGATGAAATCGAGATATTAGGTCGAGAGGTGATGAGAAAGCATCGTTGTCAGGCCTGAGAACTTAACAGATGTTTTGCTCCCAGGTGCGAAAGTTGACAGTTGTTTAACGAGATTATAGTTACGATGTGACGTTATGAATAAATGATGCAAACATACTAAAAGTTAGGATTCGAATCCTCACATGGGGGTTAAAGAATCTGTCTAATGTCGATTGCTTTTCTCTCTTCAAGGTTTTTCAGAAGTAATTAATAGTATTGTAATTGTATAGATCCCTAAGCCTATTAACCTCAATCTGGTTTGTACGCCATTCTAAGACTGTCGTTCTGACATCCTCCCACTTCTTCAAAAAAATGTTTAATAGCAGATATCGACATTAATTCTCTTTCAGAAGAAAACATATCTCGCCGAGTTTCTTGGTGTTTTTCATTCAAGAGTTCTTGGCATTTTTCTGTTGTCAGATCCATTTCAGGTTCCATTATGAGCTCTTCAATGTTCTTTATTTCTCAGATGTGATTTTTGTTACACCTTAAGCTGCTTCAGTCTTCTTGATAATACAGTACATTTCTTAGATAAGATTGAACTGCGGCCTACTAGAGTCTATAGGAAGATTTTATAGTTTATTATGTTATGAAACCGAATCAGGAGGAATACTCCTGCCCAACAACAAACATCTGCCCACTCTACCTTTGCTATTATACTCTCACCTTTCGAAAATAAGAACCGACGCAAAACTTAACGAGTGCCCGCCCGACAGTCTCGCGAATACTATAAAAGAATTGTTTCTGTCAGAAAAATAAAAGGCCGGAATACAAGGGAGAGTTTCAAAGTTCGGAGGAATAATATCTGATCAGTATATACCGGGTTGAGCGTCGATGTCGACGTCTCCCGCGCTTAGAAAAGTTTTGAATTGTTGCCTGAAAACAAAAGACCAATTGGTATTCATTATTTTACGTCTCTTCTTATTGTTTGTTCTGTGAGGTGTTATCCGATCACCCACTGTATTTCATTTAATAATTAATCAAACATGTCAATATACTAATATAACGAAATTATTTTAAGTGAGAACTTGCTTTATAACATTATTGAGGATATAATGTAATTTTTTACAATAATTGTTATTAACATTTCTTAGAATCAATTTTACTGTTTATAAAGTGAGAAATAAATGGAGGTCACAAACATGACCCAATTAGAATATTATTAATCAAATTATATCATTTACCATATGGTAAAATTGGATTTTGCTTAACATTGCAGTTTCCAAGAACCTAGCCCTGATGTTAAGTGAGGACTTACTGTATTTTTAAAACTAATTTTGTCCTGAAAGCATAGAGGCTCTTTCTCCATTCCCACATGGGTTTGGCCAAGCTTATAATGGGAATGGTTGATGATGAGGAACAGACACTTGTTGGACCTGTCTCAACAATTCCCCTTATGGACCTAGACAACTACTCACAAAATTTTCATTGAGTGCCTATCCAGGTCAACCCACCCAGGAAAATTTCTGAGCTGATCCATACTTCAGCCTGAATCTCACCTGTCTGATCATCACCATCAATATATTAGGGAATGCAGATTATATTTTTATTCTTGAATTAGAGTCAAAATGCATCTAAATCAACATAAAAATGTTGGTAAGATCAAATTTAAAAAAATTAAAAACAAAAGAAAAAACTTTATAAAAACAATTTATTTTCAGTCATATAAATACACACGCCAAAAATCTTTTTAACATTTACTAATACCGTAATCCAATTTGGCACACTTATATTTACATTGGAAAGCCCAAATATATTACACAAAAGCAATAGAATTTGGCAAGCAACACTATTCTAGTAATAACATATTTTGACATGCAACAAGTCATACTTTGTTTAGGTTAAAAAACTTAAAATGTTTGGGGAAAAAAGTAATAATAATAATAATCCTCCAACAATATAACAATTGCACTCAAATTTTAGGAATGTTTTTTAGATGCTCAAAATTAAATGGAATGTCATTTTTAAGCAATACAAATTTAAAGTTTAGCATAATGATGAGGTTTTCCACAACAAAATTATATTAAATATTGTAATAAAATGAACCACTGGGCCAAAGACTTCTGTCATCTTCGTCATCCTAATGCTCCTAGTGTGGATAATCTTTTCACATGGTCGACAGAGCTGGAAAGAATTAGAATACTATAAATCAGTATGTATTTTCGTAGCGACTTTACAACATTTTGGAAATTTTCATAGTGATTTCTCTCTATTTACAATTGGTACTTTAAAAATTTTTTCTTTATTTTTAAAAAAATTAACTATTAAAAAAATCGCTACGAAAATTTCCTGCTTAAACAGTATTCTTAAAAGAAAAAACTTTGTAGTAGTACTTTGCTTTTTTTTTAAATATTTATGTAAAAATATTTCAACTTCAACAACAGGCACATATTTAACAATTTTTATAACCTAACTATAAGTATAAATGTATGTCATTCTATACCATGGGCAAATATCATTACTAAACCAGGCTCCAACAACATGTCCGCATTCATGTGGGAATTATCACAAGCCATAACAACCACCGCCTGCTTGCCGGGTATGCGCTTGCAGACGTAATTTTCGTAATAGCGGCGATTCATTTGACGTGTTTCCAGCGTGCTCAGTCCGGGTGGCCATCTGCGCTCGTGAGCATTTTCCATCAAGTCGTTGATTATGTGCGGGGGACATCCGCTTTCACTCAATGCTCTTCTAACCATGGACTGAAGAACAGCATCGGGAGTCGATATCATTCCTCCCCATCTAGTAACTCTCGCCCTCTGTAAAGAACTAGCCCATCTGAAAAACAAATTTGGCTAATTTTAGAATGGTTCATCATTTATAATTTTAAAATAACTTGAAAGAACTGAATGAATATCTTTTATTTTTAAGAAATCTTTTTTATTATTGTAATTAATTTGATTCATTTTAAAGAATATACATTAAGGTAATACAAAATAAAACACTATAAAATTTGTAAGTTTGCTGGACAAATTGAAAAACAGAAATTTGTGCTAACAATAACTATTTAAAGAAAATCTGACCATTTCTGTTAAGTCTCATTTTTGAAATTAATATTTTTACCTTTATTAAAAACTATTCCTTAACTTTAAGTTCTGAAAATTTCTTACTATGTACATTCAGACCAAATTGTTTTTATTCCTCAGGCTACTAGAGGAACCTGTACAGAAAAACCAGTCAAACTACTTTCCCAACAGCTGATTTCATCTATAATGGATTTTTTATGTTTAGAGTTAAATCCTTAAACTGTACCTTTAATAACTGTATATACTGTACACATATCTGCAATATACAATGTAAAGAGAAAGTACAAAAAAATTATAATTTCCCCCCCTACTTTTGAAGAAAAGGAAGTATTGCAATGACATTTATAAGTTGATTATAATGAACACACTAATTGCTACTTATTCTTTCAGAAATTAGAATAAAATTAAACTTAATTATGTTAGTTGAATTTAAATAAAAACAACTGCATAAAAAGATCATATATTTTTTTGTAAAATTATACAGAGACAGTTTCCCTCAGATTATAAATATACAGTGCCATACCAAATATTCAACTTCCAGAAATCCAGAATTACCAGAAAACCAGCTATTTTTGAATTTGATTGACTGTAGTTTAGCTATAGTTTGCTATGTCACCACTTTGTTTTGGTTTCTGAACATCTGCATCACACAATGCAAATTCCAGGCGAGTGCTGCTATTTGTGTGTTAAAAACAATTTCATTCTTTACTTTCCATTAAATAGTTAAAATATAAAAAAAAATATTTAGTCTGTGTCCAGAAAACTGAAAAATCTAGAAATATAATCCACTTCTTGTCCCAAGTTTGCTGGATATTTGGTCCAGTATCATATCAAGCTTTTTCTGTCATTGATTTTCTGAAATTTGTTCTGCTCAGTATGCTTTTATTTGAAGAATATAATAATTTTCATGGCTTTTCCAAGTACTCACTAAAATATTATTACTTTTGAAGTGAAATATTCTATATTTTAAATTTCTTCCTATAAATGCAATTCATTTGACTGGAAGTGGCAACTCTTAAAATACTGTTTTCAATTACTTGTATGTAAATTTTTGTTTTCAATATTCACTTTTTTCTTTTTTAATAAATATAAACTTAAACATCATTTATTGACTCCTAAAATACAAAAATATAGTTAATATAATAATAATCCAACGACCACCTAAATATTTGGGCTATAATATGGCTATAAACAAATAATTATCACAAACAAATTTGGTACTAGAGATAAGCATTAGGTGCCATATTTAGGCGATCGTTGGATTATTATATTAACTCATCGGGCTTTGAGATGTGTATTATATATATATATATATAAATATAGTTTTATAAAAAAAACTAAATATGTAAAATTTGAATATTTTAAAAATAATTTTACAGTTGACTGATACTACTTTTAGATTCAGCCAACGGATGCTTTTTAATTAATTATTACAATTCATCTTGTTTTTGTGAAATAGTTTTCTTTTAAATTGCAATTCATCTGTAAATTCATTTTAGATGTTCTGAATTTTTCGATGATTTAGTTGTTTTATATGTTGATTTAGTGAACGTCTCTTCAATCCGAAAAAATCTTTCTGGTAGACACCTCACAGCCAATTCAGGTTATAAAAACTCCTTTTATTGTTTTTTACAGATGCATTTCGAGCTATGTTAATTTACTAGCTCCTCCTCAGTGCTTAAGAGTTTCCTTGAGTTTCATATGATCTGGTTTTCACACTTATACGGTACTTTTAGTCCCGTTTACAATATTTTGAGTAATTTTATAAGATGGTTAAAATATTGTAAACGTGACTAAAAGTACCGTATAAGTGTGAAAATCAGATCATATGAAACTCAAGGAAACTCTTAAGCACTGAGGAGGAGCTAGTAAATTAACATAGCTCGAAATGCATCTGTAAAAAACAATAAAAGGAGTTTTTATAACCTGAATTGGCTGTGAGGTTCTACCAGAAAGATTTTTTCGGATTGAAGAGACGTTCACTAAATCAATCAATTTAGATGATTGTGAACAAAATCAATCTATTCATTACTTCTGAGTAAAGGATATTAAGTAAAAAATTACTGAAACAACATTTTAATTTGATGAAGCCATTAAGTTGATAAAGAATTTAGTCAAAGTTTAGATGAATTTCCACATTATATTACAGAATGATATGTACAGTTTATGTTCTCACAGATGGTGAATGTTATATTAAGGCAACATGCATTTATTGTGATGACATCAAGATGGGGAGAAAGTGTTGATGAATACTGACACAGGGAGGGGAGGCCATCTGAATATTTGCACATACAAAAATAATTAATTTAATTTGGAATATTCTGTTGTTAATTGACATTTATTGCACAAATGGAGAGGGAAGGCAGTGGTGGTGACAAATTATATACAGAAGGAAGTAGGAGTAAAAAATGAAGCAAAATCTGTTGTTGCAATATGTGCATGCCACCTAAGCTATTCATAGTACCATCAAATCTGACTCTGAAGTCAGTAAATAGTTTATTCAGCTTCTGAGAGTCCAAATATAGAGAATTATTAAATGCTATTTAATGTGGTGGATACAATTGATTTGCTCTATAATAAAAGTACAATAAAATTTTGCCCTGCATATTCAGAAAAATCAAAATAAAATGTTATTCAATATAATTAAAGCATTATACTTATTCTTTTAACATTTTTAACATTTATCTGTTAATTGTAAAGGGTTGCAGAAATGTTTAGGCAATTATCAAAACTACTTACAGCTAAGCACAAATATACATGATACCTAATAATACACAACCCCTGCATAAAACAAGACCATAAAGTACACAAATAATACAAATCTACTAATTTTTCTCACTAAATTATTTTATGATAAATATCAGTTTTTAAAATATAGAATTGTTTTTATTACTACAGAAATAAGTATTATACATTTCCAGCATAAAGATCTATTTAAAATATAACTAAGCTACCTATAACTAATTAGTCTAATCAAATAAAATTTCACTTAAATATTTCATCAGCTTATACTGTATTTTAATAACCACCAAAATTATCTGACTCACCTTACAACTTCATCTTGTTCAATAGATTCAACAATGGCTGGTATTGAAGGACTCGAAAGTCTAATAGCTCTGATACATTCCTGTTACATGTATTTTATAAATCATAAAATCATTTTAAACTGAAAATAAAAGCAAATAATTCTTTTAATTAAAATATCACTTACTTTTAATAAATTAAGTTCTCTTCTTTGTTCATTAAGCTGAAGCTGCAAATCATTTAACTTTTGTTGTTGATTTTGTACTAAAATTCTTAATTCTTTCACACAGTTATGTTCCTATATTAAAAAAAATTGAAATAGTACATTGTACTGTTGATAACTTTGAGATATTTCAGATTACCACCCAATAATGTAATATGGAAAGGTATAGAAATGTAAAGAAAGGATGTAATCGTAATGTGTGTGAAGACAAATAACTGCCATTACAAAAAACATAGCACAATGTTTCATTGAAATTTCAATTCAGTAGGCATTTGATATGCCATTAACTTTTAAATGATTTTGTATATAAAAAACTTAAATAAGGAACTATAAATATTAATATTTAACAATGTGTCCAATTAGTGTGTAATTCTTCCTTTCTGCAATTACATCACTCCTACATGCTTGATGGTTAGTTATTCTAACATTACTAAATCAATATTCCATTTCAGTATTCAAAAATGACAGACATTTAGTTAACATAAATGTTAAATATTTAAAGTGCATGTATTTTACAGTAAAAATATAATTTAAACTTTGACAGTAGATCATTAGATTATGACAGCAGATTATAAAAATGATATTATCTTTATTTTAATCTGCATAATTAAATTCAAGTCTAAATACAAGTAAATTAAGTACAAGTTAATAACTGTACATAGTTTACATAATTATAAATATACAATGAAAGTGAATATATCCAATTTTTCTAAATAAATAAATTTACTTGCAAAATATCTTAGAAAGTAAAAGGTTAACAACATTTGATATATAACTAATTCATCACAAAAAAGTTTAGGGAAGTTTAGTGTTGTTTAGTGTTATTCCAAATTTTTCTAAATTTTCTTCTACTAGAACAGCAGTGGGAAATTGTTAATGAAATAACAGAATTTCTCAAATGAATTTTCTTGTTAAGTAGTATGAGGAAAGTCAATAAATAACTATATAATGTTGCAATAACTGTTGTTACAATTGGGATGGAAGAAAATATGCTAATCTGTGAACCAAAATGGTTTCTTTTGCATGCATTGAGCAGTCATCATGGCAACTTTGCCATATCTGTAATGGTAGCATGATTCCAAAATTACTGTGCCACTTTTGGATTGCATTGCTGAGGAGCAGCACAATGTTTGTTTTTAAATACTGAGAGTGAAACCAGCTAAAATTTATCACCAAATGAAGCTCAGTATGGTGATGAATTAGATGTAGTCAAGAAACTGAGTATCAGTATTAATATTCCAGAGTGGGAAGGAGAATGTAAACAAGTATTTAGAAAAATTATAGAATTCAGTTTATNAAAAAATAGACAACTTGGAATGGAAAATAAAGATAATGGATCACAATGTAGCGAACGTAGTGAACATTCATCTTCAGTTGAATCAGGCATGGGTATGTAATATTTGGGAATTTATCATCATTAGTATATATTGAATACTAAAAATTATAAATTTGTGATGTACGATTAAGTAATTCAAATATTATTGATTTAAATCATAATTTTGATATATATGTATAACTTCAGATATTCAGTATAGTTACAGAATTAAATAAGTTTTTTTTAACTAAATAAATATTATTATTTAAGAAAAATACCAGAAAAATCATATTTTGCAGTGAATGTTGTTGTTCTCTTTTATTAAACAGACATGAAATAAAAAGTATTTAAATAAGATAAGAACATGCATAGTTTATTTTAGAATATATTAAAACTTTCAAATTTAATTTTACTCACTTAGAAGCATTGATTAAGATTTCAAGATTATTCAAGCTAACTGATATCTTAACAAAATTTTGCTGCTTATGCTTGAATTTAAAAAGTTCAAATATCTTTAAATTTATATTTCACATTCTATATCCTATGTTCCATTCCAAAACCTGATGATAACTGCTAATTATGGTCAAAAACATATGTTGCAGTAGTAAACTTTAACCTTTTTGCTGAATTGCTGGTTTTTTGAAGTTATTTTTAACAAAATTTCTTTAATCACTTAACTTTCTTGATCTATCTCCTTGCTGCACATTTTCATAATTTAATATATCTAGTTTTAATACAAATCTGTGTTATATAATCAAATACTATCTGTAAAAAAAAAAAGGACTGAAGAGGAGTTAATAGAATCCAAAATGCATTTCCAAATACAATAATAAAGTGTACACATTCAACTAATGTATCCCTGTGTGATTGAAGTTACTAAAAAAAAGCTAAAATGTAGGCTTAGTAAATCATATGAAAATTATATTTATTTATTGACTTTCCTCAAATACCTTCATACAACCTCAACAAAAAACCTTGGACAGCATGTTATTTTAATCAATTTCTAGCTTATCCTTCAATAATATCAAACAAAAACTTTTTGTACACTTAATTATTTTATATTAGTAAACTTTTATTATAACTGAAGATTTTACATAAAAAATTTTCATGTTGATAATACATTAAAAAAGTTATGAGCAGTTGAAAAAAGTATGTGTGACAAAAAAAAAATGCTTGGACAGAGCCATTTCTAACAAATAATACCTCAGACAATACATTAAATCTATTCCTAAATGTGTAAATGAGCTGACATGTGATATTTGCACATTTTTCTGTATTAACATTATTAAGGTGTATTTGTTTAATGGCACCTGGTAAGGCTGTAAGTGTTGATTTACATGAAATAATTATCATCTTCCATAGACAGGACAAATCCTTAAGAAAAATTGCAAAGAAATTAAAAATTCATAATTCCACAGCATGGGATATTGTTTCAAAAGATCAGGAAACTAGTAAAATTCATCCAGAAAAATCAACTGGTCTTTGTTATAGTTGCTGGCACTGTTGTGCCAGCAACTATAACAAAGACCTTTGTGAAATGATTAAAAAAATTTGAGTATCATTTGATGAATTAGTGAACAAATGGAATAAAGTTACTGGAAAGGAAGTTACAAAAGAAATATGTCATATCCATCTGCACAAACTTGGCTAAGCTTCTATCAGGTAAGAAAATATCATTTTTTCTTAATAATTTGTTTTCTTAGACAAAAGCAAAACGACTTCTCACAAAAACACTAAATAAAAATTGAATCAAGTGGGCCAAAGAGCACCAATGCTGGTACAACAGTGGAAGCAGGATGTTTCTAGTGATGAGGCCAAGTTTGAAGTCTGCATCATAGTCAATAGGAAAAAAGTCAATTAGAAAGCAAGAAGAGGCATTCCATCATGATTGCCTACATCACACTATAAAATTCCCAGCAAGTGTTATGGTATGGGGTTGCATGTCAACCCAAGGTGTGGTAAATTTGCATTTCATTGAGAAATCAGTAAATGCAGCAAAATACCAACAAATCCTTCTGGAAAACCTATTACCATCATTAGAAAACTTACAGTATCACAGACATTTTAATTCCCAGAAGGATGGTACAAGTTGCCATATGCTAAAATCATCAAGGCTTGACTGGCACAACATAATATTAACATATTAAAATGACCATTGAGCAGTCCCAACCTTTCCCTTATAGAAAATATGTGGGGTAAAATTAAAAAAAGCATCTAAAAAAATTCCTCAAGAAAGTGTGGCTGGTTTAAAGCAGTGTTTCTCAACGGGGGCGATATCACCCCCATGTGGGCATTTTTCCATGTTGAGGGGGCGATTAGTAACAATTTATATTTTGGGGGGTGAAAAACAATTTTCTGGGCAATATAGTAAAACATTATATTAAGAATAATTAGATATTTTATTCGTTATATTGTACAATAACTAAACAAATAACATTATACTAGTCACTAGTCTATTTAATGCAGTGCGAATTTAACCTTAGCCTTGGCCCCGGCCATCGGAATTTTGAAGTAAAGGGGACGATACTACGTAGCGGTTTTATTGAAGGGGGCGACGATTCGTTACTGGTTGAAAAACACTGGTTTAAAGCAAAAAACCAAGCAAATTTGGTATGAAATTTCTCCAAATGAATGCCTGGCTCTCGTTGATACAATGTATAACAGCATTCATATGATTATTCAAGTCACAGGTGAAATAACTAAATATTCATGTACTGTCCAAGGTATTGTGTGTCAGAAATGGCTCTGTCCGAGCTTTTTTTTTNCTAGCTTATCCTTCAATAATATCAAACAAAAACTTTTTGTACACTTAATTATTTTATATTAGTAAACTTTTATTATAACTGAAGATTTTACATAAAAAATTTTCATGTTGATAATACATTAAAAAAGTTATGAGCAGTTGAAAAAAGTATGTGTGACAAAAAAAAAATGCTTGGACAGAGCCATTTCTAACAAATAATACCTCAGACAATACATTAAATCTATTCCTAAATGTGTAAATGAGCTGACATGTGATATTTGCACATTTTTCTGTATTAACATTATTAAGGTGTATTTGTTTAATGGCACCTGGTAAGGCTGTAAGTGTTGATTTACATGAAATAATTATCATCTTCCATAGACAGGACAAATCCTTAAGAAAAATTGCAAAGAAATTAAAAATTCATAATTCCACAGCATGGGATATTGTTTCAAAAGATCAGGAAACTAGTAAAATTCATCCAGAAAAATCAACTGGTCTTTGTTATAGTTGCTGGCACTGTTGTGCCAGCAACTATAACAAAGACCTTTGTGAAATGATTAAAAAAATTTGAGTATCATTTGATGAATTAGTGAACAAATGGAATAAAGTTACTGGAAAGGAAGTTACAAAAGAAATATGTCATATCCATCTGCACAAACTTGGCTAAGCTTCTATCAGGTAAGAAAATATCATTTTTTCTTAATAATTTGTTTTCTTAGACAAAAGCAAAACGACTTCTCACAAAAACACTAAATAAAAATTGAATCAAGTGGGCCAAAGAGCACCAATGCTGGTACAACAGTGGAAGCAGGATGTTTCTAGTGATGAGGCCAAGTTTGAAGTCTGCATCATAGTCAATAGGAAAAAAGTCAATTAGAAAGCAAGAAGAGGCATTCCATCATGATTGCCTACATCACACTATAAAATTCCCAGCAAGTGTTATGGTATGGGGTTGCATGTCAACCCAAGGTGTGGTAAATTTGCATTTCATTGAGAAATCAGTAAATGCAGCAAAATACCAACAAATCCTTCTGGAAAACCTATTACCATCATTAGAAAAATTACAGTATCACAGACATTTTAATTCCCAGAAGGATGGTACAAGTTGCCATATGCTAAAATCATCAAGGCTTGACTGGCACAACATAATATTAACATATTAAAATGACCATTGAGCAGTCCCAACCTTTCCCTTATAGAAAATATGTGGGGTAAAATTAAAAAAAGCATCTAAAAAAATTCCTCAAGAAAGTGTGGCTGGTTTAAAGCAGTGTTTCTCAACGGGGGCGATATCACCCCCATGTGGGCATTTTTCCATGTTGAGGGGGCGATTAGTAACAATTTATATTTTGGGGGGTGAAAAACAATTTTCTGGGCAATATAGTAAAACATTATATTAAGAATAATTAGATATTTTATTCGTTATATTGTACAATAACTAAACAAATAACATTATACTAGTCACTAGTCTATTTAATGCAGTGCGAATTTAACCTTAGCCTTGGCCCCGGCCATCGGAATTTTGAAGTAAAGGGGACGATACTACGTAGCGGTTTTATTGAAGGGGGCGACGATTCGTTACTGGTTGAAAAACACTGGTTTAAAGCAAAAAACCAAGCAAATTTGGTATGAAATTTCTCCAAATGAATGCCTGGCTCTCGTTGATACAATGTATAACAGCATTCATATGATTATTCAAGTCACAGGTGAAATAACTAAATATTCATGTACTGTCCAAGGTATTGTGTGTCAGAAATGGCTCTGTCCGAGCTTTTTTTTTGTCACATGCTTTTTTTAACTGCTCATAACTTTACATGTTAATAATACATAAAAAATTTTTGATGTAAAATCTTCAGTTATAATAAAAGTTTACTAATATAAAATAATCGTAAGTGTACAAAATGTTTGTTTGATATTATAGAAGGATAAGTTAGAGATTGATTAATATAACATGCTGTCCAAGGTTTTTTTTGTTGGGGTTGTAGTTATCAGTTGCTTTGCCATGCAAATAAGAAACACACAGATAAGCAAATATATTTAGTAGAAAACTTAATTTCGTCTTATTAAATTTGTAATCTTATATTAAAAATACTTAATTTTCATAAAAGATCAAACTAAAATTTAAAATTTTTTGGAAGATTTTTATTAGGTCCAATAAGTTTTTTATAAATAATCAAATTCAGATATATATTCTCATGTTTATGTATTGTATCAATGACATTTAATACAATAATGACCCTGTTACAACCCTGATCAAATTTTCCAGAGATTAAGAATTCACTAACTAATGGATTAAATATTGAAAAAGAAAATTATAGAAATATATACATACATGTGTGTGTGTGTGAGCGTGTGTGTGTATATGTATTTCTATAATTTTCTTTTAGTATACATATATACATGTACAGTATATGTAATATGTATTTTATTATAGATAATATACAAAAGGTAATTTTTTTTATTAATTTTCTAAATGACTATTACAAATAACAATTAGACATATGTTGAGTTAATTGTATGTTTAAAAGAAAAATATCATTAAATATTATGTTTAACCTAATTCTCTGCTCTCAAACTAGTGCAGACAATGATATTTGATTATATCATGTACCAGTACATTAAATATAAGTAAAACAAAAAAAATGTTGATGCATCAAATTTTATTTGAAAAATGAAATAGTGGAGTGTAAATAATATTAACAGTTATAATCAATGATGTTTGATTGAATAGCGTATTTAAGATACCTCTAGTGGATTTTTCAGTTAACCTATATTTAGGTTAATCTTAGACATTACAAAATAAAAATAATATTTCTAATAGTGCATCAAAAATTTCAGTGTGATTAGTTAACTTCTTGAGTGGTTGGCAAAGGTTCGGAAATCTGGTAAATAGATGAAATGTTTTATATTGTTTTTTATACGAAATGTTTAAAAAAGAAGTTATATTTGTAATACAAACCTTTAATTCATCTTTTGGAATTACTAATCCACAACCTTGTTCACATGGTACTGGACGTTTAGGATTATGCTCACATTCTTCCCTATGCATGGCTAATCTATCTAATTTTACTACAACAGTGCAACCAAATGAAGAATTATCACAGGAAATTTGTAGACGGGACAATAAATTTCGTAAAATTCGAGGAACTGCTTTAAGATCAGCAGGAGTTATAGGCTGACGATCTACTGGACAAGATGGTTGATGAGCTAACCATTCATTTATACATTCTTTACAAAAAGCATGTTCACATTGAGGCGCCTAAAAAGAAATTAATTACAGTATTTAATTAATAACTTAATAAATATAAAACATTATCATCACATAAAATATAAGAAACAAATCTATACATATATTTGCTAATATTAAATTTTGAATTTTACATCTGAGCAGTAGTATTCATTCAACTCAGTTTTCAAGATTAAATCCAGTGTGTCACTACATCTGAGATAGTACAGAATCTTTGTTTAGTTTTTCTGCTAATTTATTAGTTTTCACTAATATAATGATCATCTTTCACTAATTTATATGCACATGTTAACTATTGTAGCAAGGACTTTCACAACAATACTTAAAAAATCCTTGATGATTTTTAAGTCAGCATTAGAACTTTCTCTCTCAATTCAAGTAAGTTAGAAGGAAAATATTTGCTACATTATAGAATGTAGTTTATACATTGAGCCTTTTAAAGAAAAAAATATATAAAGTAAAATTTTACTCAAAGTTTTGCTATTGAATTAACATTGACAAATTAGTCTCTAAACTTAACATCTACTGATTTCCCTCTTATCAGAGTAAATTTATTCAAAATTTATACTGATAATAGAAATCTAGAATATAAAATTTTAAAATAATCTTTCATTATTCACTCTATACAAATATTTCACAACAAACAGAAATAAATTATTTCAAAATCCTCTTGATTTTTTATATTCCTCTTGTAAAGAAGATCTATAATAGAAATAGTTTGAAAGCATTTATTGATAATTTTTCAATAAATATTTCAATAATAAAAAACTAAAAATATTGTTACATATAATTTTATATTAGCGTAATGTGTTTTAGTTAAATATCTTTTCTATTGTAACATGACATAAGAAATTTGAAATAAATCTAAAAAAGAAAATAAATATATCACTGAATTAATTTCTGATAATTAGAAATTACTTATTAGTTATCACACATATTGCAGAAATGTATTCATCTCATCACCATAACATATATTAATGAAATAAGTATTTATATAACAATTACTTGTAAAGGATCTTCTAGCACTCCTGAACATATTGGACAGATTAATTCTTCGTCAACATCACCCACAAATCTTGCTACTTCATAACCCATATTGCTATCTATAAAAACAAAAAATGTTACATTTACTAAAAATTATGATCATAACTTTTCATTATATTAAAATTTTCATTATATTAAAAAGTTCTAATGTAAAAGTAATATATATTAGAAAATTAATAATAATTGATTTCAAATCCTATGTTACAGTAATTGAAATCATTTATTATATCAATTTTATGCAGTGTATAGCTGACTTTTTTCCTGATTATACAAGAAAAAAGTCAAATGAATTACACAAAATTTACAAAACTACTTTCTCCCATACTTAAATAAGTTAAACTACATAAATATGAAAAATAAACACTTATAGATTCTGAATAAATTTTTAAAAATTATTGTAATAAAATCACATATTGATTAATTGCCTTTTTGTAACAAGTCTCATACTAATTTTCTTAATGGATAATGCAGAAAGATTAAATTACAATAAAATTATTTTTATTAACTAACTATAGAAGTTTAAAATCATCATCAACTAAATGATTATTAGTAATTAATGATATGATTCAACTGAAAATTATGCAACTAATTTTTAGTTGAATCATATCATTTCCATCAGCAAGAAAATAAACAGGAAGATATTAAGATTTCTCTAATCATCATATCTTCCTGTTTGTTAAGAAAAGTTAAGAATTTAAATTAAAAAATTATTAAACAAAATTTTATTTGTCAAATATATTTTACTTGAATAATTTCATTAAAAAAAGGTTTACATAAATAATTTGCTATTAGTAAAAGTATAGCATATGAAGATAAAAATAAAAATTTAAAAAGACTAAATTAAACAGAAGAGAAAAAAAATAGTCACTAATAGCAGACAACAGAAAAACATCTTTAATACCAAATGATCTACAACATTTTTTTTATCAGACTATGTTAAGAAAATCTGGCAAACTGTTTGGTGCTACAGGTGTATCGGACTATTGATCAACATTGTTATAAAATCTGTAGGGTTGTCACATTTCTTCTTTTTCTTCTTTCTGCTCTGTGGACATTATAAGAGGGCCATTTTAACAAACTGGGTTTGGCCAGGCCCACAATGGGGCAGTAGGGTAGTGAGGATGGGGTCTAACTTATTATCTAAAACAGTGTTTCTCAACCAGTAACGAATCATCGCCCCCTTCACTTCAAAATTCCGATGGACAGGGCCAAGGCTAAGGCCAAATTCGTACTGCATTGAATAGACTAGTGACTAGTATAATGTTATTTGTTTAATTATTGTACAATATAACGAATAAAATATCTAATTATTCTTAATATAATGTTTTACTATATTGCCCAGAAAATTGTTTTTCACCCCCCAAAATATAAATTGTTACTAATCGCCCCCTCAACATGGAAAAATGCCCACATGGGGGCGATATCGCCCCCATTGAGAAACACTGATCTAGAAAAAACCACCTCCAAAAAATTCCTGTAATGTTTCAACCTGCCTGAATCCACACTTGGGTTCACAGAGCAGTAGGCTGACACTTTAACTCAATAGTATGTGACCTTTGAGGCCACAGAACATAATTCATATACTTTCTATTACATAGCATTAGCATCAATATATTCAAAAATTGATAAGCAATTTTCCATTCTTACTATTCTCAAGAAACAATGAAGCAATAAACTAATAAACTTTAATGTTTTGAATAAAATAGAAACATGGAATTGCCCATGAATATGGTAATATGTTGTAGAACATTGGAATAAATTTGCAATAAAATCTTTAAAAATGTTTTTTCACGAAATACTTGAGGCAGGTTTGCAGAACACTGATTAAGAACCACTGCCTGAACTGCTCAGGCATCTGACCATCAGTGTCTTAACTTTGTATGTCCATGGCATAAGAAAGGAGAAATCCACACAATGGAGTTAAAGATCCTCCAGATAAAAGTTCTCAATACATATAGAAAATTGTTTTAAAAATCCATTAGATGATTTTTGTATTTTTGTAATAAAGTGTATTTTAAACCATATTATTTGCCTATGGACACTTTAAATAATTTCAAATATTAAAGTGGAAAGCATCTCTAGATAAAGTCAATGCCATCTGTAACTGTATCCTTACAGTATTAAAATGACAAATGTGATATTAAAAATTTAATGCAATCTTCTACTAATGAATATTTTAAAGTTTTCTTTTTGTTTATAATTGTAAGATTTATCAATAGCTGGATAAGTATAAAGACATTTCTTCTATTATTAAAAAGAATTATTACAGTTAAAACAAAATTAATTCATTACACTAATTATAAATGTTGTGTGTTTTATAATTATGCATTTCTAATCATTTTTAATGTATGAAAATCCACACTAATCAAAATATTTAAAGGATATTACAACATTCCTTAAATATTTAAATATTTTGCTGTATTATTGATTATATATATAAGCTGTAAATTCAGTGCATCAGCACACAATATAGAATTTTACTAACATTCATAATTAACAAACAAAATATTTTTTGATAGTATTCAAGAAATTTTTTTCTTCTCTTACTACAAACCTGAAATTAAAATCAGTGAATAATAAAATATCAAATATTTATATAAAGAAGATAAGTTAATATAATAGATAATATAATCTTAAAACAATTCAAGAATTCAGGAAAATTTATTTTTACATAAAGTTTACACAAAAACTAAAATATAATAATAAATAAAGGCAAACCTTTAAGCAGAAATTAAATTCAAAAACAAAACAAATATTTATTAGCTATTGTTCTAATCATCTTCAAGCTAATATTTTAATCTGAAGAAGACTAGAAGATTTTATTTTATTTATTTATAACATTTAAGTTTATCAAATTGAAAAAGTTAAATATACAGTATATTAATTTTTCCTGTGTACATTTTATTGTCTGTCATTATTTTATTGTAAAAAAATTATAAAATTAAATGAAAAATTCCTTGAATTCAATTAATATATTTAAATTAATAATAGTGAAATGAAGAAATTATTATAGAAATTGTTTAAATTACTTTTATTCCATGACCTTTAATTGGGACCCAGAATACTGCAGGATATAATACCTATGAAACATAGAAATTAATTAATATGGGGAAATCTCTTCATAGACTAATGTGTCTACAGTATAAAATAGGTTTTATATTTAGTTTATTAAATTTATCCTCTTAAAACTAATATATACACTATAATATATAAAATATAGTAATTGATTATTAAATCTTGCAATATAAAATGATAGGTGTATGTAATCACCAAACATATGCCGTAAATCCATCGGGCTAGTTTTAAGGCTAATTACTAAATAAATTACATAATTAATTTGGCACTAGAGGTAAGCGTTAGGCGCCATCTCTTATTAATATTAATAATTATAAATAAATTAATTAATTTAAATAATTTAGAACCGCTGGGAGAAAAAACGGCCCGGAGCGGGACTCGAACCCCACAACTCCTGCTTACCGTGCAGATGCGTTGCCAGTTACGCTATCCGGACCTCCGATCCGATCTCCTCTTCCANGATGATTATATATATTACGCCTTGCCGGGGCTTGCGATGGCCGGTTGAGTGCCTTATAGGAGTAGGACGTGGGCACTGAATGTGTCCCCAGCCGGCATTGTAATAACCGTCGATGGTTACATAGTTATACGCTGGAAGAGGAGATCGGATCGGAGGTCCGGATAGCGTAACTGGCAACGCATCTGCACGGTAAGCAGGAGTTGTGGGTTCGAGTCCCGCTCCGGGCCGATTTTTTCTCCCAGCGGTTCTAAATTATTTAAATTAATTAATTTATTTATAATTATTAATATTAATAAGAGATGGCGCCTAACGCTTACCTCTAGTGCCAAATTAATTACGTAATTTATTTAGTAATTAGCCTTAAAACTAGCCCGATGGGATTTACGGCATATGTTTGGTGATTAGCTATATTACATCGGGTTTAGCGATGATTATAGATAGGTGTATGTTTGAAATGTAGTCCAAGTCAACATGCTGCAAACGTTACATATTAATATAGGTTAAAATGTAAGTTGCATGTAACCCTTGAATACTGCAACTTGTACAGTACAACATATTTCAAAAATTGCTTAGATAACATGATATAATAATAATTTTTATAATTTTCGAAATTATAACTATAGAAGAAAAACATCAATCCAGTAAATAAACTTAATTTGATTGTCAATACCCAAGTTGTAGCATTATCAAGATATTATTAACACTACTGTTTTATATCATGGCTCTCTTATTGACATTGAGTCCTTAAGTTAGCTCTATGCTAATCTCTAGTTGCCCACTCCTAATATACATCTTGCTTTACAGATCCTATTATTATTACTTACAGTAGAATTTCCTTTTTTTGTAAATCACTTTGGGATTGACTTATACTAAAAAATAAACAACTGACTGATAATCAGGCTTGGAGTTGGAGTTGAAAGCAATGCTTGAGTTATTGGAATTGGAGTTGAAAATCAGTAAAAAATGGATTGACTGAACTTTTAAAAAGTAACTTTTATCTGCGAATTACCAACATACTCTGTAACTGCTAGTACACTAGTTTGATAACAATATACACAATTACAATAAGCAGTGTCTACTATATTTATTTATTGCTCAAAAATAAATAAAACTATTCCAGAGGTTTGCAGTACTTATAAATAGATTTAAAATTTTGGTATAAGATTTGAATAACACAAATTGTTTTAACTAAAAAACTTTTTTTTAATTAGAATAAATAAATTGAAATTTTAAAATCTTTGTAAAATAGAGCATAAAAATGTAAATAAAAATTCACTTCTCCAATTATCAAAGTCCACTATTTCCTGCTTTATTGGATCCTGACAGTATACCAATTCCTAAATATTTTCAAGCCTTTCTGTTCATCAACAGGAACAGATTTAAATTCCATCTAATATAAATTTTTTTCCATGTATGTAACCTAGATAAGCGGTTGACAACCTTTCTCACCTCATGGACCACTAAAGTCACAATTTTGAATGCATGTTTAATTATAACAAATTAATGCAAACCTAAAGTTCATTATTGCTTGTTTGAAACAAGTTTATGGATTCTTCATGTTTTTCCATGAAGGATGACAATCGCACTCACAATATTATTTATCGTTCATTGTTTATTGATAACAGTCACTTCGTTTTTGGTTTTAGATTCGAATAAAAAACCCCAATGAGTGTAAAAAACAACTAAGCATTTTGCATTTCTTTCGTAATACTTCACATAACCTTCGGTTGATCAATATTGAAATTTCTCCACGGCCCACCCAAATTTTTCCGCGGACCATCAATGGTCCTCGGACCACTGGTTGCCAACCATTGACCTAGATCAGGGGTCGGCAGTTTGTCAAGTGAGAAGAGCCAAATTGTCATGAAGACAGGATAACAAAAGTACCAGAGAGCCGCATATTAATTTAAATATGCGAAATACGACACACAACAGAGGCGCCTCTAGTGGCCGTTTTCGGCATAATGTTACACGGATGGACGGACACGCGTTCAATGGGTTATATATATAGATATGCTTCAAATGCTACCACTCTTATGCGACTCATATTGATCAACGCGAGTGTGGTCATGTGCGGACGGAGAACAAGTCGAAGTTTGTTCGGCGGCTCTATCTCATAAACTCATAAGTTATAAGGCTGCGGTGAAATGAGGTGAGATGAAATTGGAGTTTATGTCCGAAGAGCCGTAAACGTCTATGCAACGAGCCGCATGCGGCTCGCGAGCCACTAATTCCGACCCGACCTAGATGATGATCAAAAGGCTTTAAAGTGCTCAGATATTGACACAAATATTGTTATAATTTCCAATAAAGCAAGAAACAGTATATAAAAATGTTCAGTCATTTGTAATTTATTAAACTTTTTCCTTTACATGAAATTGCTGAATAATTTATTGAAAATATTTTTAAACAAAATACCAAGTTTATAGTATATTTTGAAGTTGTTATCATCATTTGTGAACTGTAGATTTAAAATAGGATTATAAACATAATAGTTTAACCAGATAACATACAGTTAAAGTTAGATTACAATAATTTATAATTTTTTAATCTGTTACTTAATGATAGAAATGTTAAAATTATCATCATTAGAAAGTTCTTTATCATATAATTTCTTTTTGATTATATAATTGTCTATTAGAGTTAGATTCAATTATACATCTCATTCTGAATCTATTAGTTAAATTATAAAAATATTTAGTAAATATTTGAATTATTAAATGTATAATATATCAGTACTCCTGTTTCAATACTTAAATCAGGGGTGCACAACCTGCGGCCCGCGGGCCACATACGGCCCCCTATCAATGTTTATGCGGCCCGCGAATGGTACAGGCCAAATCCCTTCTTTGGAAGTTTCTAAGTGTAGAACTTTTTCCCTTTCACAAAGTCATTAGCACCCAACTGTTTTATGACTTTCCGTGAGGTGAGAAATGGGGGGGTTGTTCTATAAATAAGTCTATTTCTAGCTAACACTTTCTGGTTTAGATATCTAATATTTTAAGTTTAATACATAGTATTATAACGATTTTTCGAAGAATCAAATAGAATAAAATGATGTTAGAACGCCATTTCCGATGTTATTAGGAAGTTTCTATTTTGGCGGGAAATTTTCAATTTTATGCTTCGGAAAACTTGCTTATTCGTCTAAATAGCGTCAAATAACAAAAATAAGTGAAAATAGCGCTGAAAAACCATGAAAATAACGATTTTTTAGCATTTGTTTACATTCTAGATTCTGATTGGTATAGTCGAATTTGAATCAATCTTTTCTGAAAAGACGCTTATTCGTCAACCTAATGTCATTCAAACTAGAAAAAA